AGTATTTGAGTTGATATGATGTAGGTTGTCTTAGAACACCGATTAATGGCATGTAAGAAAAACTCCTTTCAACTTTAGAGCTGAGGCGAATGGAACTTTTGTAGTCTAGAAATTAATTGGGTTTAATTTGACGGTCCTTGTAAGAAATCATAGTATCATGTAGGTCAATTTAAAGAAATCATTATCTATTTATTGCAATAGAGTGAACGTTCAGAATAAACGTTGGCCCCGTATCAAGATGTAATTTGACTACTGATCGTGATATCAATATTCACCCGAGTTGGCAATATATCTGTTACATTTGTACATACGAGAGTGAAAAATATCAGATGGATTGGAAGGAAAGACATGTTGATGTTGTTACCCTGCCCAGAAGAGAATGAATACAAATAGTATAATATATATTTCATATAGAATTGATAGAGAGGATAAAAAGTTTCAATGGTTGATAAGATGGAGGCTAAAAGCGCTAAAACAGTAAGATGGTGAAAAGTACAAACTTAATTTAATTTTTTAATATTGTTCAGTGGCTGTTCAGTTGAATTTACCAAACGAGTTCTGGAAACTCGCTTCTTACTGATATAGGAATTCTTACTTGATGCACACCATCAGTCCAAGTCAAGCTCCCAAAGTAATATTTGGTGGTAACCTGGTGCCTTGTTGAGATTGTGACTGTGAAGGAAATCTTCTTAATCGTAGGACTGAATATCAAATAATCAGGTTTAACCACTACGCTAATTCCTGGAGGCGGCCTAATTATAGCTTTATATTCAGAATTAATGGCTCCAACATTTGTTACAGTTCTGGTGAGAGTAACTGGATTGTTCAGATTTGGAATGGTTATGGAAGGAAGATTCAAATCCAGAACAGAAGTAATTGTTCTTGAACAAGATCTAGCTCTCTGAGTGAGGTGATTAATGGCAGTTTTATCGTAATCCATGGAACAGAGATAACGTGTGTAATCTTCAATTCCCAGGTCATACACAAGGCCTGGATCTCTTGCCCTGTTAGGATTAACAAATCCCCCTCCAAAATCAAATGGATCAGCTATTCTGGTTATGTCTCCCTCAGCCAAAATCGGTTCTCCCGAATAAGGATCGGTTCTCCAGGCTGCAAAACATTATTGACAATTGAAATATTTAGTTGTCACTCATTTATGAAAAACCGTGCACGTGTCAGTCTACCTGTAGAAACGAGTGCCGATCTTATAGCAGCCGGAGACCAATCTGGATGCAAAGACTTGAGTAAAGCCGCAATTCCTGATACATGAGGAGCAGCCATTGATGTTCCAGATGAGAACACGTATCCTTTTATGATTGAACTTGGAGGGTATGCTGCTAATATATCAACTCCTGGGGCTGCTATATCCGGCTGTCTCATGCAAAAACCAAATATAGTGTCTATTCAGTCTTTGATGAAAAAATGAAGTCGACATGCAAGTGAGGGGTACCTTAAGGCGGTTGAAGCTAAAAATTTCATGTGGCCATTAGTAATAAAGATACCTTAAGGATTGCAGGGGAAAGAGAATTGGGACCCCGCGACGAGAACATTGCCACGGAAGTGGTTGCACGTTTGCCTATGTAAGTTTTTGATGGTATAAGTCGAACTTTTGGGTCCCTACACAATCCACAATACACATTTTTCATACTATGAAAATGAAAATTAGGATGAAAAAAGTGGGAAATCTCAT